TTTCAGATTATATTTAGTTTTGCTTGGAAAAAGCTGCCCCAAACCAGTTTTATTTCATCAATTATTGAAATAATGAAATATTTAGTAATAAACTTTTATGACAGAAATATCACTAGGCTACATGTAACTTAAATCATTTAATTCCTTCATTATCAACACTGTCTAGAATGGCGATTTAAGTGTGAATTGCGACTTCTCTTTGTGTTAAGTCAGCCTCAGACTCCGATAGCCTGTGGGGGGTTGGAGGGACAGTTGCTGGACAAAGGTGTTAATGTTCCTCTTTCATATGGAGAGTGTCGGATAGCCAGCCTGATGAGCAGGCAAAATTATTGTAAGGATAAATCTGTGTCCAAATGTAGGCCCCATATCTTATTAAATTATAAATATTGTAGTTTATTTATTGTAGCCTATTTAAAGTTTTTTTTTCACACAAAATTTCAATTGAAGTTATTGTAAGGTGAATTCAACAAGGCATGCTGTGTCTTTGAAGCAACAATTAAAGGTTAAATAATTTTTTCGTGATTTGTATGGCTGACACGCAGCGACATATACAGTATTATCAGCTGTATGATGTGTTTTTACCCTGAAATGATTAATTTCGAGAGAGAGACCCGCGCGCGCAGCGAGGGAGACTAAATAAACTTGTTAAAAAGAGATCCAGCGCGAGAGAGGCAAAGAGAAACGCATGTTTTTAATTTAATTATGTTTCTTTGGACAATTTTCGTTTTGTAGGCCTACTGTTTTAATTGTTTAATTTAGCTGTAATTTCTTTGGCAATACAAATTTAAAATGTCGCAAGAATAAGATTAGCCTAGTGTTTCTTATTTTGCATCGCAAAAGAAATAAACTCTAAACAAGATGCAACCCTGTTTTAAATTAAACAATTTAAACCTTGAAATGTTCGAACTTGGTTTCAAACTTAAGTAATTTTAGTGTTCTTTTACATTACACAATAATTTAGCAGACTAAAGACGAGCTTCTTCATTTTCATTTTCTGATCGGCTGACAATCTTCATCAGTTTTTGTCGTTTGTGCAGCGGCTGCGGTTCTACAGGAATGTAGCAAATTTATGTTGTAATGATAATCAAACAAAACTCTTGACTTTAAATAAGTAAACAGATATAAACAGTTACCTATTTAAGCATCAAGGTGGGAAAATATAAACGTAGGACAACATCGGTTAACAACATCTATGCTACATTGAGATTCGATCTCGGGTCTGTTGAAGCTCCTCGAAGCTCGTGTCGTTGCGTTGATCACTGAGCTATCGTCTGTACGCTGTTAAAGTTGTAAAGCCTCGTTCATGTAGCCTAAATGTTTTTATTGCAATGTTTTATGTTGAAATGTTTTCATTATTTATTCAATTACATTTCAGTAGCCTAATTTCAGTATTGTGATTATGAATTATTTTAACTACGTTTCACTTGTTGAATTCTTCTGCTACCAGCTTTCAATCGCTCTGAATCAGCGCGGTGCGGCAGCAGATTACGCATTAGAGAGAATAAACCGGAATAAACGAACACTTTTCAGAGTCTATGATTGTAGCGCCTCTTAGCGGTAAAAGGCAGCAAATACACCACACATTTTACCGCCGCGGTGGAACAGCTGATGTGGGCGTTGTCATGGCTTGCCTCGACATTTGCGTTTGAATAGCGCGCGTCGTCCGTGGGCGTGTCAGATTAACGCGTAATGAAGTGTAATGAGCTGGGGGAAAAAATACTGACAGCACTCTCTTTTCATACAGATTGCATAAACTGAGAATATTTGTTTTTTATATAAATTACTTCATTTAAAAGAAGAGAATTCAAGCTTCATAAAGAAAAACCTCTCGTGCCTGTGTGACAAGTAATCGCGGAGTTACAGTTAATCTTAGGACGCGTTTCAGAATGGACTTCACTGACAGAGAGAACGCAAAACTCGCATCATGTTTGTTTTTCTTTATTTGGTGAAAAGCACAACACTTTGTTTTTATTGTGAGTATCCACAAAAAAAATAGAAACTTAACAGGATCTAATGATGTACAACACTTATATGTAAGATCAAAATTAACAGAGTAATTTGAGTCTCTTTTGCACTGATAAGGAAAAAAGTGAGCTGGTATCGCCGGCGAGACCGCCGACCCCAGAGAGTTAACATAATCATTATTTGACCTGAATCACTGATCTCATTGAGAGCATAATTTCTAAGTCAAGTTTACCTTATGAATTATAGAGGCACTGTCATTGTAGAGCATACCGTTTTTATCCTTATTAATGAAATCCAAATGATCAAATCAATAAAAATAACAAAACTTCCAAAAAATATTTTATGTAGGCACACACAGACATCAAGAATTAGCGTATGAATCTCAGCAATGGTGTCAAACAGATCACCTCTAAACATAAGCTCATTATTTATTCATGCAGCAATGCATGATGGGAGCCATGAATGAGTTTTGATTGGTGCCACCCAGAATGCACTGCAACATGCTTTTTAATTGTCACCATTGTTGAGATTTACAGTCTGATTCTTGATGCCTGTGTCTAAAAAAAGGGTTTTTTTAATAAGCACAAGTTTTAAGAAATTATTTGGATTACATTGTAAAAGTTAAAAACATTATGTTGTACAAGGACAGTGCTGCTTCAATTAATAAAGTAAACTAAATTCAGAAATTGGTCTTTATATGAATTCAGTGATTCAGGTCAAAGATTGAGAAATAACAATTATGTTAAAACACAACCAACAACATCAGATCACCTTGTCTATGTGTTCATCTGGCTGTTATAACTCATGTAAAGCAGCCAAACAAAATCTAAATATAAAGTTATTGATTTAAGGGTCAAGAGCCCAACTAAAACAAACACTGATCACCATAACGGTGACTCAAAAATCCGGTTTACTCCTTCAGTGATTCTGCTTGTTAACATCAGGGGTCTTCAATTATGCTCAATCATCACTCAATTATTCACTTAATTATCTCATTAACTTTAACACTGCTTCAGTGTTCATTTCACAGAGTTTATATAATTCACACTTTTCAGTGTTAATTTAACACTGAGAAATTTGCTGTGTACCAAACATGCTGTTCATCAGGTAATCAACGCCTGTCCCCACCCACTATACCGTAAATTGAATGGGTCTCCTCCTCTCACTGCTGATGCCATGACTGCTTGAAATGATCCTGATGCCAATAATTGTAATGCAGCGACGAGTTTAACAACTGCTGGAATGGAATGTGAACGCTGAGTCGGAGATTCGATGTCATCTTTGATTTCTTCCAATAACTGTAATATTGCGTATCTGCTTAATCTGTAACGCTTAATGATTTTGTTTTCACTCAACTGAAAAAGTGTGATTCTTGTGGCAAAAAATCTCTTCAGCTCGTCTCCTTAGCCTATGTCTTCGTCTTGCTCGGATTACTGCTACCACTTCACCAGGAGGCATATGCCAGGAAACCCGCTTCCTAAGTTACACCTGCTTTTAAGAGGCGGTGAATTTACAGCGCAAAATAGAGCCGCGCTTTCACCGGCTTTTTCTGTACATAACCCCTCCCATCTCTTAATGTGACACTCCCACTTTGACCATCCCATGAATGCATATGCATGACACAAAAAGCGCATTTTGCCATTTTCAGTTCCCGCGACAGGCAGTCTGCGCTTTCATCTCGGTGCGTCACGTTCGTACATACCTCGCCATAGTTTTATGCGCAAAAGCGTTAGTACATCTGGCCCCGAGCCTTTTCGTATGCGTTTTTTCGTATTCGTCATTTGGTGACTCTGAATTGTCAAAACACCTCTCAAAATGCTTGCTACGGATGCAAAAAACACAGAAAATCTAACCCGATCCGAATTGTTTTATGGCAAGGACCTTTAGTCTCTTTGGATTAAAAATCTCTGCTAATTTTGATAATGTAAATAATTAATCAGACCATTTTATTCTAAAGAATCGTGTTTGTCAACATTATAATATTTTATCAACTGCAACCATTCCTTTACATCTGACTTCATTCTGCTTTGGAATATTTCTATAATAAAATCAATTCCCAATGAATAAGATCACTAAAAATGTACATTTACAGTCAAATGGGTCATAAACAGTAATTCATGTTGACTTCAAAAGTTTGTCACTTGTTGTAAACAAGATTATTATCAGAAATTATATATTCTTAAATACAAAGCACGATTTCTTTTTCTTTTCTTTTTTTTACTTATATTATGGTTATGGTTATATTAGGGTATCAGATATAGCTCCAGTTTTCCTAGCAACTGTCAAAATTAAATACCACGTTGCTTTTCATCATTCGCCCTCATATTGTTCCAGACCCATATGATGTTTTTTTTTTTACATCATCACAAAAGTAGATTTTTTGCAAAATATTTGCACTGCTTTTTTTCCAGTGGCAGTTCACAGTCAGCATGTCTGTCAAGCTCTAAATATGGCAAAACAACACTATAAAAGAGCCATAGATGTATCATTAATATCCATAAGTTAAATTCATGTACTGACTATTCTGAAGTCATATGATAGCTTTGTGTAAAGTAATGACCAAATGTAATTTAAGTCATTAATGACCGATATTATTCCCCTTCGGTCCAGCTCTCAAATGTCATTCTCCATTCTATAAATTTTTGTTCGATTAAGGCATGTGAGAACCTATGGCATTTGGCTTTAAGCTAAAGTTGATATTTTTTCCATATACTGTACATGTGCAAATAATGACTGAATTTAATTTAATTGTCGGTTTCTCACACAAAGCTACCATGCTTTCAGAAGACTTGGAATGGAGTATATACTAAAAGGTTGGGGTTTTTTTTGTCCTTTTTGGAGCTTGACACATGGCCACAATGAACTGTGTCAGTATGGAAATAGAGGTATTGTATAAAAATTATTCAAAAATTCCCCTTTTGTATTTCAGAAAAAAAGAAGAAAAAAAACATACTGGTCTGGCAAGACATGATTTTTGGCGCACTAACCTTTACAAATGTTTTTTTAGAATATTAATCTTGTTCTTTTTGTCATAGGTAGGAGAGTTTCGAGCTCATGCCGCTGAATGGACTGCTAATGTGTCCGCTGAGTTTAAGGAGACTCGTCGGCGACTTAGTGTCGACATTTACGACAAATTCCAGCGCGCTGCATCGATCAACCGCAAGCTGTCCGCTGAAATAAACCTCAGCCCACCTATCAATCAGCAGATGACACCAGGGAAACGTGCACATTCAGTTAACCTCGGAGATCAGAGAGAAGAGTTGTATCCCTACACATTTGTACGAAGCGGAAGCTTATACCTCAACGGCCTCATCCCGGATTACGCTGACCATCGAGATGTCACTACAATACAAACAAAATGAACTGGAACTGAAGGCATTCACCGACAAACTGTGAGAGCAAAAATATAGGATTTATAAGGAAGGATAAGACAAAATGAAAAATGAGAGGACAAAGACAAGACCATACAATCGCATGTAAAGAAAATAGAACGACACCATTGTGTGGACAAAGAGCATTGTTCTCCATTGACGGCCATGTGAAAGTAGCCATGTATTCTGATGAAATAATCAAATAAAGAGTTATTTGTAATATATTATCATAGTTACAGATTAATATACTGTAGGTGCTTCACGAGTGCCCCACTTTTTTTTGGATAGCTCTAAAATGCATGAAAGTCTTTTTTTATCATTCTTCTGCAAGTATAGTCAGTATAGACAGCATTTACGTGACATTTGCTGGATGTCAGCATTCCGGCACTGCATGAGGCAACCGAGCACCTGCAATGGAAACAAGAGAGCTACCACACTCCAAGACAAGGCCTGCAAAGCCCAGCATATAATGAAGGCACAACATCACACAAATCTTTTGTCCCAACTGCAGGCATAAACTGCAGCGAGGAAGAGAGGAAATTCCTTAACATAAGTTGAACATTCCCAACCGTCCATGACCAGATGCACAAAGGCACAGTCAAAAGGTAGGTGGATGTGATTATAACAGTCCTGCCCTCAGTCATGTCAAAATGATCATATTTAGGAGATTAGCACACATGAACACCACCACAATGTCATCATTACTAGTGGGAGACTTTGTTTAACATTCTTAAAGTAATTGTTCACTTCAAAATAAAAATTCTGTCATTTACTCACCCTCAAGTTGTTTCAAACTTGTATGAATTTCCAAACAGTTGTCGACCCCATTATCTTCCATAGTACAATCTACTATGGAAGTCATTGGGGTCCATCAACTGTCTGGTTACCGACATTCTTCTGCTGAACACAAAAGAAGATATTTTGAAGAAAGAAATGTATACAGGCTTGAAACAACTTGAGGGTGAGTAAATGATGACAGAATTTTCATTCTGAAGTGAACTATTCCTTCAAGCTTTTCTAAAAAAGGTCACACTTGTATTGTTCCCATTCAAAAATGGCCACAAACAGCCAGAGTGTAATACTTGATATAAAACTAACTTCCCTGAAGTATAACAATAAAATAAAATGATGCACTTGTGGCAATTTAGATCTTATTTATGTGTAAATTTCTCTATTTCACCCTAATTTAAGCAAAAACACAATCCTTTTCCATACATTTCCTATATGGTCGGTCAATTCTGACTGCGAACAGCCAATGTAGGCCTTTTTTTATGATTCCACAGAGTCATTTACACCACACTTTCTCGTCTCATGTCTTGAATTATGTTTTTGTGTGTTAATCTATTTAATTACTTCAAGAATATAGCTGTGATCCACACTCAAAATCCTTTTAGTCACTTTTTTATTCACAGGGGAATAATATAACAGACGTTACGGCTCGCAGGCCTTCTTCAGTGTGTTGAATTCTCTATTCCCTCCACCCATTATTTAAACAATTAATTAAGACATAATTTTACACTAAGCACAATAATCTCCACTTACACTGGGACAGAGTGGTGCATGATGATGGAAGAAAACTGCATTGCTCCCATTATAATCAACAAAGCTTTTAACACTGCAAGTATTTGTTATGGCTGCTCAGCTTGTTTGCCCCATTGCTGTTTTTGATGTGCTGCGTTACGATACTCCAAACACTATCCTGTGTCCTTGCTATCTGCTTGTTAAGTATTGAATACTGCTTCCAGGTCCAAGCCTTTACTCCATTTCAAGTGAGAATATCTCAATCTCAACAGCCGTTTAGGCTTTAAGCTAAGCTTTTAAAAGTTACAGTGTACACTACAGACCGCAGGCTCACAGCGGACAGGACACCAATAATTTAATGATTCAGAGAAAATAAATCACTGTCAGGCCAACTGAGATTTCGGTATGGAGATAAAGGTTAGATCATGGTTTTTCAGCACACAGGGTTGCCAACTCTCACGCATTTGGCATGAGACGCAAGCTTTCAGGCTATGTCTCCCGCTCTCACGCTGTCCAAGTAAATCTCACGCCAAATTAAAAAAGCCAACGTGCTACACATACCGTTGGGCGTATGACATCAAGAATGCTATGCTTTCGAGTCACTCTTGCCGTATATTGATGTCATATGCCATTCGGTCTGCGCAGAACCGCATGAAGTCGAACATATGTATTGATAAGGTATGATTTTTAATTAAACCAATGAAGACCTGCAACCTCTTGATTGAACCAGTCTGTACTAATCACATTTTCCCCACACCATACAGGGACACTGTATATAATACCCACCTGCGTGACCATCACCAAATATGTTTAGGCGGCATTGTGAAACATATTATTTGTGCACACAAACGTCTCGGTTACGTATGTAACCCTCGTTCTCTGAAGGAGGGAACAGAGACGGCACGTCGGACTGACCGACGAATAGGAATCTCGCTAGAGAAGCCAATCTAGTTCAAGTGTAACTAAATGAGTAAATGCACATTGGCATGTGATATTTGCATCAGCTGCTCTGCCTAGCAGCGCGGGTATATAATGAGCGGAAGGTGCATCGCATCTTTAGGTTTTCACTGAGGAGCCGAGCCGTTAACCGTATTCAAGCAGTTCAGCACCGACTGACCCCGTTTCTATGTGAGGCGTGCTGTCTGTCCGACCGAATCCAACTCCATATCGAGAAAAGAGATACTTGGGGGGAGGGGAGAGCCTGCTCTTTTTCCCAGCTGACCCGAAGACCCAACTGGCTGAGGAGACTGAGCACCTGGTCCCTGTGTTTGCATAACTGATCTCGGGACTGTGCTAGTATGAGCCTCGTCAAGATAGTTGAGGATGCGAATGCAGTGTTTTCCTTGTTTTTGGGAACAAGGGCCACCTCTGTGACTTTCATGAAGACACGGGGAGACAGGGCCAGCCCGAAGGGCAGGACCTTGTACTGATATGCTTGAACGCAATGCAGAAATTGCATGTGTTGAGGGATAATCGAGACATGAAAGTACAGGTCCTTCAGGTCGATCGCTGCAAACCAATCTTGGGGACGGATGCATTCGAAAATGCATTTCTGCGTTTCTGCGGGCGAACTGAATCGCATAGCCAAGCCTGATGGTCCGAATGAGCCTAGCGAGACGGACTGGGGAGTGCTAGCCAGGCTCGGAGAGACCGTGAAAGCGGGACTATAGGCATACCCGCAGTGGAGCAGCGAGGTGGAATGCAGGGAACCGGCCCGGTGGCGATAGAAAAGGAGGATGAGCGTGGTCCGGTTCTGCACTGTCCACTGCTCTACATGCCCCTTTGGGATCCAGAGATATAGGAAACTGCTCTTTTATGGAGAAGTTGGGAACAAAACAAAATGAAACAAAGGATTCTCTACCCGGCCCTCCTCTGAGGGAGGGAGTGGTGCGGTCACCATCTCCCAAAGAGATGTTCCCTCCATCTCCTGGTAGACCATCTCAGAGCCTCTTGGACTTGTGCTTGCCACCAGGCTTGGAGGGAGCCTGGACGGACTGGACGCTGTTCCTGTGACCAGCTCCATGATGCTGCTTGGATGGAGGCTGTTGCTGCGGTGCGAGAGCCGGGGCAGACGCAGGGGGGCACCCTTGGAAATGAGCAGACGGGGGTCCTGCGACCAGCGGTCGGGTGGAAGCAGCAGCTGTCCGCTGGGGCAGGATGTGCTTGATGGCCTCAGTCTGCTTCTGTGTAGCTGAGAACTGCTGGGCAAAGCTCTTGACTGCGTCGCCGAAGAGGCCGGTCTGAGATACGGGTGAATTTCAAAACCTGACCTTGGCGGCATCCCTCATGTCGACCAGACACAGCCAGACATGGCGTTCCTGGACCTCTAGCGTGGACATCGCACGAAATCTGTGCGTAACCCCCAGCCACCCCACCATTGAGGTGCCATAAAAAGGTGCCGTGTAGGACCTAGTGAGCTCCTCATGCACCCCCAGGAAGAAAGGAACCAGGGCTGAGAACCAGCGCGAGCCACCCTGAGAAACCAGTCGTCCAACCTCGAGGGCTCGGGACACGGTGGTTGATTCCACACCCCGAAGGAGGCAACGCAGCCGAATCGTCATCCCCAGAAAAGTCAGGCTCACCCTCCGATGCATCGATCGACATCCGGTCGTCGGGGGAAGTACCGAAGGATACGACTGGTACACACCTTTGAGATGCCCCAGCACGTTCCTCAGGCAGTTTTACTGGCTGCGGAGCGCAAGAGGAGTGAGGGGTCCTAGGGGGTTGGTTCCCCGAAGGAGAAGCCCTCACCGTGATCCTCAAGTCACCCATGCTACTGCCTGAGAGGTACAATATGTAGGATTTTTGCAGTAAAATATCCAAAAACCACTAGGCCAATGTTATATATTTTGTTTAGTTGATTACTTACAATATCCCCAAAGTTTCCAACTATTTGTAAATCGTGAGAAAATTGCGATTTTAACCAAGGAAACGGGACGTGTGAGCAGGGGTGAGGAGTCGCCAGTCAATGGCGTCATATCCGCGTTACCCTCGGTTTCTGCTCGTACTGCCATAGTAAACATGGCGACAGACGTGGACAACTGGGTTATGCTTAGCAGGCCGCTCACGCTGTTGTTGTTTTGTTCAAACATTATGGACCATGGCAAGCAGACTTTGAGACAAAAAGAGGACTAAAACGAAGATCAAAATCTTTCGAGATGTCAAGAGCTCCACGTCCGCGACTAACTTCGACTTGACAGAGACGCGAGTGTTGCATGTACTTTATTAGACAGGTGAGCAAATGTACATAAAACTAATCAATGTTATTTAGTTCAATATGATGAAATGTTAGAATATGATCAGTATGTTATTCTAATGTTGATCTAGCTTACTGCTAGTCTCATACAGCCAACAAACAACCTAACTAACAACATTCAACACACTCAAATGCAGTTGAGTGTGATAGTGTAACTGTTAGAGCAAGTGAAACAGTACTGCGTTACCTCAAGTTTAATTCGTCTAATAAACTGACCTGTGTGAGTATTAATTCAGCACTTGCGTGTAGTTCGGTAGAATGAATGTCCTTATTCCTTAATATCCGCGGGACTCGCGTTGCGTGTGGCGCTGGTATACGTCTCTCATTAGCAATCGCGCCCTGCTTCACACCACAGTCATGTAAAAAACATCATTGTATTCACTCATCCATAAAAGATCCATCAGCTTGACGACAAGATCCATAATTCCGCTTAATGCTTTGCGTCATCGATATACGCCTTTGTTATTGTAAGAGGTTAGCGACCCCTCGTGGCTATTGTACCTTGAAATAAGCCTCTGAGGAGGAAGGGATCGAGGCAGAGGCACGGGGACCCCACCTCTTTGGAGGTACTGGAGTCTTGACCGCAACTCCGAGATGGTCATCTTCCCGCAGTGGTTGCATGACTCATCCACAAAAGCTATCTCAGTGTGCCTAACGCCCAAACACGTGAGACAGCGATCGTAACCATCCCGGAGCCAGGTTACGACCGCATCCAGA